GCGCAGGCTGAGCGCCCGGAGCGGGTGCACCACGCCGAGGTAGCGGTCCAGGCTGACGGCGGCCAGCAGCAGCACGGAGCCGTACATGTGGCCGTAGAGCGCGGCGGTGGTGGCGCGGCAGGCGGCCTCGCCGAACGGCCAGTGCTGCTCCTGCAGGTGGTAGGCGACGCGCAGCGGCAGCGTCAGGGCCAGCAGGAGGTCGGCGGCCGCCAGGTTCATGAGCAGCATGGTGGAGGGCAGCCGCGGCACCCGGGTGGCCAGCACCCACAGCGCCAGGCCGTTGGCGGGCAGCCCCACCAGCAGGGTCAGCCCGTAGAGCGCGGGCACCAGCCTCGTGGACACCCAGCCCAGCAGCAGGGCCCGAGAGCTGTCTGGGAGCTCCAGGACGTTGCTGCCGTTGTCCTGGAGCTGGCCGGGGAAGCTGCGCAGGTGGGGTGAGTGAGGGGTCTCCTCCTGGGGCCCGCTCAGGGGCCCCAGTGTGCCATCTGGGGGAAAGGGGATAGAGGTGTTGAGAGTCCAGGCGTCACCCCCACCTCGCCCCGCCCAGCCCCCGCCCGTGCCGCTCCCGGTGCGGCGGCGGAGGGGGGGCGGGGCGCTACAGTCCAGGCCCCGGCTCTCAGGAGCCCCCAGCTTGGTGGGTCAGAGCTGGACACAGACACCCCCAGCCCCGTGGGCTCCGGGCTGAGCTGGAGGACCCCCCTCCCCAATTCCCTGTCTCCCACTCATCAACTCTACTGGGCCTCCCCGCCAGGCCCAAGACAGGGCCCAAGGTCACTCACCGTTACCTGCCCCCGCGCTCCCCATCTCGTCGTAGGTGAGGGTGTTCTGGCTGTCATCTTCCAGGCTGAACCCCAGCACCACGGGCCACAGCAGCACGAGGACCCACATGCTGCCAGGGCTGGGCGCCGGCTGCTCTGGGCTGCGGCCGCTGACCTCAGGCTTCCTGCCTGGCTGACCCCCCACCCCCAGCTTCCTGAGCGCCAGTGGAGGAGCGGACAGGGCCCGTGAGATAAAGCAGCCCCTGCCCCCACAAACCCGCGGCAGGCCCGCGGTGTGGCCTGAGGAGGCCTGGGGGCTAGCGTCAGTCAGTTCCACACGCGGGGGCCCAGGTGCGGGGCCAGCAGGATGCGGGAGGAGGTTCCAGGCTGCACTCCCCGCCCTCAGCCCCCGTTCAGCTCAGGAAGCCTCTATGGGCCAAGTGGCTACTTCCTGCTATCCTGTCCTGTCTGCAGCCCCTGTTCCCATGACAGCCCGCCGGGTCACGAACTCAGGGGCTCTTGGCCCTTCCTGAAACCTCTCCCCACCTCCTGCCTGTGGCTGGCTGGACCACAGCCCTGCCTCGCCAGGTCACAGACCAGAGCACGTGAGCGATCGTCCCCCTCTCCGAGCACCCCAGGTCCTCCGTGGGGGCTGCCTGCTTTGTTGCCTCTTCACTCACACCCCGGCCCGCTCCCCTGGGCGGGCAGGCCCAAAGTGAGGTGCAGAGATGGGAAGGCACTTTGTGAGACTGGGGTATCTGAGGAGGTCTTGGTCCTTGGCCCGGACCCCCAGTGCTGACCACGTGCTACCCTGGGGAGCAGAGAGGAGCCCAGCTTCGGCCCCCTTTGGGCCCAAGAGCTCCTTCTGCTCCCGTCCTGGCTCCATCCTCCCCCTGGGGCTCTTGGGAATGGTCATGGACATACCTCAGCCTGAGAGTGGTGGTCAGGCCAGCCCGGGACAGAGGGCCCCTGAGCCACCCACCCTGCTCTGGCCCCTCCACGACCCTGCCCTCAGACGGGGCCTACCGTGCTCTGGCCCCTCCACGACCCTGCCCTCAGACGGGGCCTACCGTGCAGCTGAAAAAACACAGAGGGGCTCAGGGGGGAGGGTACGCCTTCTCTGCCTTCTCTTCTGCACACAATGCCCTCTGTTGCCCCTCCGGGGGAGAGGCCTCGACCATCCTGCCCTGGGGAAGCTCTGCATGGGGGTTCTCGACCAATGTGGTCAGGGTTGGGCCATGGTGGCGGTGGGGGAGGGGGCGGTCTGAGAGCAAGGGGACCCTGAGGGGTTGGTGGGGGGTCAGGGAAGAAGAAATGAACTAGGGATGGGAGAAGGGGAGCAATGTGGCCATGTCCTGGTCTGGGAGCCTTAATCTAGCCACACACTTGAGGTCACAGAGACCAGCCAGGAAGTGACCAAGCAGTCCTGGACAGAGTCAGTGCAGCTGAGGGTGAGATGCCAAGGTCCCTGCCCCCAGCCCTGGGTGGGGGACTAAGGCCTAGAGAGTTCCGGCTGGGACAGGGTCCTAGCCAGGAGTCTCCCCAATTTCCGGACTGTTTCCACCGGCACCAGTGACAAATTCAGCCACGCCTATGTCTCTTGGCAGTTCGTGGCCAAGGTCACGCTCAGCGCACAGGGGAACCCAGATGAGGACCCCCTCCTGCCCTCCAGGAGCAGAGCTGGGAACCTGTGCACAGGAGGCTGGGGGGCTGGCAGCTGGGCGACTCTGGGGCAGGGTGGACTGGAGCCCCCCAAGGAGGGTGGTTTGACTCAAGAGTCCCGTGTCTGGGAATCGATGGCAGGCACGCGCACACAGGAACTCGCCCGCACAGGGGTATTCCCCGCTGCACAGAGGCGGGGATGCCGATCAACAGCCCCATCACAGAAACCACCCTGTGCCAGCCGGGGTGGGGGAACCCCGACACAGGAGGTGCAGGGAGACCCACCATGGTGAGGCGCTTTCTGGAGGACGCTGGGGGGCAGCTGCTTTGGGGAGAGGGACTTAGGTGCCTACTTTTCTCTGTGTGGTTTTTTTTGTACTGTTGGAATTTTCTGTATCATCTGTCACTTTCCATAAAAACTTACATTTATTTATTTATTTATTTATTTATTTATTTATTTAGCTCCATGCCCAGCATGGAGCCCAACGTGGGGCTTGAACTCACCACCCTGACATCAAGACCTGGGCTGAGACCGAGAGTCGGACGCTTAACTGACTAAACCATCCAGGTGTCCCCAAAACTCACATTTTTTAAAATGGTAGAATAGTAGCTTTAAAAAGGAGGGAAAATCTGATACAAGCTCTTCCACAACATGGATGAGGCTTGAGGACATTATGCGGAGTGAGATAAGCCAGTCACAAAAGCACCAAAGCTATATGATCCAGGAAGATGAAGTCCCTCCAGGGGTCAGGTTCTCAGGAACAAGAAGGAGATGGTGGGCTCCAGGGGCTGGGCGCGGGGGTTGGGAGTCCGTGTTTCATGGGGACAGAGTTGCAGTTTGGAAGATGACGAGTCCTGGGGATGGAGGGTGGGGATGGCCACACAACCATGTGAAGGTACTTAAAGCCACTGAACTGGATACTTAGAATGGCTAAATTTTATGTGTATTTTAACACAATTAAAAACTTATTTAAAATAGTGTGTGGGGGGGGGAAGGGTAATCAGATCCGGGCAGCAGCTAGTGCTGGATTCCTTCAGCTTGCAGCCCCACCTGAACCCCCAGAAGCCCCCGGAGCCCCTCCTGGCCCACCTCACTGTCTCCAGTGTTAGATGGAGGTCAGGGCACCAGTTAGAGACTCCACGAGTCCTTCCAACGTGACGCCTCTCGGGGAACCGTCTTGGTGGAGATTGTGATTTCTTTCTGTTGTAGACCAGATTGTGATTTCTTTCTGTTGTAGACCAGATTTTCCACCTCCTCATGTTCTTTCTGCCTAAACAACTTCCTTTAAATATCTTCTTTTAGTTCAGGATTGTTAGTGGTAAACTGTTGCAATATTTGTCTGAAAAATGCCTTATCTTCCCCTTTCACCTTGGAGGATATTTTCATGAGCTATAGACTTCAGGTTGGCAATATTTTTTTTTTTTCAGCAAATTTCCTTTTGGCTTTTCTGAGAAATTAGTGGTCATTTTCAATTTGCTTTTTCTTAACTTTCTTGTGTTTGTGTGTGTGTATGTGTTTACCTTCTAGCTAATTTTAAGACTTGTTTCCTGATCCTTGATTTTCAGCAAATTGATTATGCTGTGTGTGTGTGTGTGGTTAGCCTGCTATGGGTTGACTATGCTTCTCAGACCATTCTTGGAAAATATTCTGCCTTTGTTTCTTCAGTGATTTTTTTTTCTATTACTCTCTCATCTGCAACTCGAAAGAATGCATATAAAATTGGTTGATATTGTCTCACAGGTAATTGATGCTCTTTTCAGTTTTTGTTCAGCCTTTTTCTTTGTGTTTCAGTTTGGATTGTTTCTACTGCTATGTTCAAGTTTTTATTTTTTATTCTGCAGTGTCCAATATGCTAAACTTATTCAATAAAATTTTCATTTAGCATAAAAAAAAAAAAAGTGGATGGGCACCCACCACGATGCCTCCATTTCCCCTTATTCCGGGACCGGGCCTCAGCCTGTGGGCAGGGACAGTAACCCACTTCCGGCCGAGAGGAGGGTGCTCTGACCCCGGCTGGCTTTGAGGTCTGGCTCTCCCAATCCCAGATGCCCCGTGTCCTCCCGGGGACCTCAGTCCCAGCTACTCCATCGGGCCACGCACTGGAGCTCGGACAAGGCGCTGGAAGCCCTCGGGCAACCTTCCAGCAACCGTGGTTGTAGAGGTGCTGGGTGCGTTCCGATCTCACCCCACACCTCCGGCCCTCAGCCTCCTACTGGGAGGTCCCACCTACCCCAGTCCCCACCCCGCCCCCTCCTGAGACTGCCTTGAGGTCCACTTGTTGTTCAGAACAATCGGCCTCCTTCTCAGCCAGGACATCAGGGGTAAAGCGTGGCTTATACCTTGCAAAAGGTATAACAGAATAAGAGGAGAGAAACAATAACAGAATAAATGTGCATCACACCCCACTGGAAAGTCCTCCCCCTCCCCGCCACCTCCCCAAGCATCACATACCTGCTCCCTCTACCACCCTGGGGAGGGGAGGGCCGCCTACCTGGTCCTGCGGCTCGGCCCCTCCCCAGACTTGAAGGAGGGAGGAAGAGAGGGGCGCGGTGGTGAGGATGGAGGGCTGCTTTATCTATCAGGCCTGTTCTTCACTGCAGTGCAATCCAGGGCTGCAGACGCGGTGGCTTGGAACGACAGGCCCTTAGGATCTGGTGCCTCCGTGGGTGAGGAGTCCGGGCCCCGCAGGCTGGTCCCCTGCTCAGCGCCTCACCAGGCTGCAGGCTGGGTGTCCACAGGGCCGGGTCCTCACCCGCACTGGTCACGCCCCCTTCCCAATAGGGCCAGCAGGAGACCCTCCCTCCAGTTTCTCCTCCAGTGACCTGATCACAGCCATAGGCCCCGCCCACTCCGGGGACCCGGTGCCCTTTCCCGTGCCCTTCCCAGAGGCTGCAGCGGCCAGGACCCGCACCCCAGGACACCCCTCCCAGCGCTTCCAACAGGAAGGCCAGTCCGTGGGCACACAGGGCCCTGGGACCCATCCTTGACGTAGGCTTGAGGCAAGGAGGAATCTGGGACAGCACTGAGCCTCATTCACCAAACTCCCCGGGAGCCCCGACTCTCTGGAGGGGGAGGTGTGCAGCACCGGGGGACATCACGTGTGGGGTGCACATGGACGAGGGGTTCCCTGGAAGGCAGCAAGGGCCACTCAGGAGATGGAGGACCGCACCTGGAGAGGACAGGCCCCGTGGGCAGTGCAGTCTCAGCTCAGGGACCTGACTGGTGAGGCCTGGCGGTGGGCACTGGGGGGGAAGTGGGGGGAAAGGCCAGCCAGGAGCCTCAAGAGGTATCCGCTAAGAGGACCCTAAGAGCAGCTGTGGTCTCCCACTTTCTTGGAGGTGGGGCCAGATGGGAGCAGGCCCAGGTGAGTTCAGAAGGGGTGATGACGAAGTCATCAAGGTGTGCTGAGACACACATCAAGAGGTGTGCTGAGAGGAAGGGGGCGCCCAGCTGGGAGCAGGGACCAGAGAGCACGGAGGGAGGGTGGCTTTGTGGGGTG